TTTTAGTAAAGTCCTAAACCAATTAAACCGGAAAAATAACAAAATAAAAATATGAAAAGACAAAAAAATTAGTACTAAAAATAGGAAAAATCATGAGAATGACTAAAAGTGTCCAAAAAATAATAGTCTGGGATGTTAGATGACAAAAACGATAGTATGAGACTAAATTTGAAAGTGCCACCAAAGACAAAGGACCTTTGGTGGAATTAACTCGATTTTGTATATTGTTATGAACTATTTGTATTAGATTTTGATGATACCAAACAAGTTAATAAATTAGTTCCCAATTATTTTACAATTTTCTAGACTTAGGCTTTCATTTGTTGTAACATCTTATAGGTTCAAGTTAGGAAAAAACTATACTACTCAAAAGGTAAATACACCATATACTAGTTCAATTATATAAGTGAACAAAACGGAAGATCAAATGTACTGAATAGATCGAAGGTACTGAATAGTGCAAAGAACCAGAAGGTAAAATATATTGAAACATTGACAACATTCTCTTGTAACTATGCAGTGATAATATACACAATCACTATAGTGTCAGTATATATTATCACTGCATAGTTAACAAGAGAATGTTGTCAATGTTTCAATATGCTTTGGTACACATTTCAATGAGGATTTTTCTAAAATAGTCAAGACAAAAGGTAAGTTGAAAAGTCAAGATTCAAGGACTAGTGTTGAAAGTCAAGTAACAATTTAAGAATTCTTATAAAAGCAACCTAATACACAAACCACAAGTCATTACATGTTGGTTAAATACCACCCATTTGAAATTTGCTTCCCTCCAACGGAAGTTTATAAATACCTCAATTCAAGAATGAATGAGGTGATGGTCTTTTTTAGAGAAATTCTACAAGTGTTTTACTACATTCAAGCGGCTATGTTTACCTAACCAGTGAGAGAGATACTGCGATCAAAAATCAAGTTCAAACTTTGACAAATTCAAAGATTACCCAACGCTAGTTGGAGAAGAACAATCTTTGTGTTCAATCTTTGTGTTTAGTAAAGTTCTAAACCAATTAAACCGGTTAAAATCTAAAAAATAACAAAATAAAAATATGAAGAGACAAAAAATGTCCGTACTAAAAATAGGAAAAGTCATGAGAATGACTAAAAGTGTCCAAAAAATAATAGTGTGGATGTTAGATGACAAAAAGGATAGTCTAGGACTAAATTTGGAAGTGCCACCAAAAACAAGAGAGCTCTGGTGAAATTAACTCGATTTTGTATATTGTTATGAACTATTTCTATTAGATTTTGATGATACCAAACAAGTTGAGAATATTAGTCCAACTATTTTACAATTTTCTAGACTTAGGCTTTCATTTGTTGTAACATCTTATAGGTTCAAGTTAAGAAAAAAACTATATTACTCAGAAGGTAAATACACCAGATAGTAGTTCAATTATATAAGTGAACAAAACGGAAGATCAAAGGTACTGAATAGTGCAAAGGACCGGAAGGTAAAGAAGTTGGATAGTGAAAAATGGATTGTACATAACAGGAAGGTTCAAGACCGAAGAGAACAATAGTTAAGTCAATGAGACACTTGATAGTTCAAAGCAAGAAGTGACCTATTCACTATTCAGTCAAGCATGCTAAAATTCACGCAATCACACTGACACTATAGTGATTCAGTGATTGTGTATATTATCACCACATAGTTAACAAGAGAATATTGTCAATGTTTCAATATGCTTTGGTACATATTTCAATGAGGATTTTTCTAAAATAGTCAAGACAAAAGGTAAGTTGAAAAGTCAAGATTCAGGCACCTAACACACAAACCACAAGTCATTACATGTTGGTTAAATACTACCCGTTTGAAATTTGCTTCCCTCCAACAGTCAAATTAAAGGAGTTTATAAATACCGCCTTAATTCAAGGATGAATGAGGTGATGGTCTTTTTTAGAGAAATTCTACAAGTGTTTTACTAATTCAAGCGGCGATGTTTACCTAACTAGTGAGAGAGATACTGCGATCAAAAATCAATTTTAAACTTTGACAAATTCAAAGACTACCCAACGCTAGTTGGAGAAGAACAATCTTTGTGTTCAATCTTCACACTCTACGTGACTCAGAGAAGTAGAAAGAGGAAGAGTGGCAAGTTGTTGTCTCAAGTCCTCTCCACTTGTATTAGAAGTGACTAGCATTTTGTACGCGCGATGCGCGAAAACTTATGCCCAATATTAAAATATTTGTAAGTAACAAAATTTAAAAAATTAGTTAAAATCATGTTTTGCAATTTCTTAAAGTGATGATTCTTTTGAATTATCATATATTTGAATAATATAGTGATCAAAACAAAAAAAAAAATAAATTATATTTTTATATAATAATAATTTACAAATAATACTAAGCTAACACTCACATATATGATATATTGATATGGATACACAAATAATATACATACATATTATATATATATATATATATATATATATATATATATATATATATATATATATATATATATATTTGATACACATATATAATTTAACATTATATTCATATAAATATTTAATTAAAATATAATTTATAATTAAATTAATTGTTATATGATAATTTTAATAAAATGATAATTAAAAATAGGAAAAAGATATGATAGATGTAGGTGTATGGTAAGATTGGTAGATATATTAAAAACTAACGGTGTTATAACGGTGTAAGGGTGATTTTGTCCAATGCAAATGAATGTACAACAATTAAAGCAAAATGTATATATTTATTAGCATATAAAAAAGGGACAAAAATAAAGGACATAACTTGTATTGACACTTATTTTGTTTTTAGATAATACTAGTGAAACCTCCTTAAGATCTTCTAGGAGAATAGTGAATTAAGTCAAGTTGGTTTAATCACTATAAAAGTTGTTATATCTCTCTTTATATACTGCACTTACATACAATCCTTTTTATTTATTATCAAACTTATATTTTAACAAGACAAAATGTACCACAGAAATAAAAAGAGTTTAAAATAATTTCCACTACGCTTAAAACTCTATTTTGAAATTAAAATTTGCAAAAGTTTTTGAAAAAGATAACAAGTATATTCACCCCTCTTGCTGGAAATGTGCTATAGTTGCTAGCTAGTGTATTAGCCTATATTGCCAAGGTTTTATACAATTGGAGACTACATTTCTATCTAAAAATGATAAATATATTCTTTGGAGTAAAACTCTTACAACGTGTATGTCTTAATTTTATTAGAGGAAGAAAAAGAAAAAGAATAAACATTGGCCATTCATGTTTGTTGTATGTATACTTTGATTATACAGTTGGTATTTTGATGAATTAAGTGTTTTGATTAAGTATTTGATTCTTTGTTAACAAATTAGGTTCTTTGATGAATTAGGTAATTTGACAAATTAGGTATTTGATTAGTTAGGTATATATATTGAATATGAATTATGTAGTTTGATGAATTAGATTGAATTTGATGATGAGTTAGGTTTTTATTATTATTATTATTATTATTTTTGGTGAGTTAGGTATATTTTGATTATACATTAGGTATTGTAAGTGTAAAAATTTTACACGTTGGACCCTAATGTGTTGGCTTGAATTAGTTGTCTTTTTTAAAGTGCTTAATTGGCTACATATTAGGTAAGGTTTGTTTCACTAGATCGAGTGCCGGGGGTAAGACATCAAAGGATGTTCTCGGTCAAAAGGTCTAGTCAAGACCCTACTCTCAGGGATCTTTAAGTCAAAAGAGCAGCTGAGAATAAGGAGCGCAAGTTTAGATCAAGGAGACATCTCAAATATCTCTATAAAACGCTACTGTGTCTAGCATTCAAATTCACACTTTTGATTAAGAAGATTTCTGCTTGTCTAATTCTGATATATTCTGTTGGATATCTGAACGGTGATGCACTGGTGAAGAAGATCTCACGAAGGGTTCATGATGCGAAGAAGATAGCCTACACGTCAAGTCCACGTAGTCACTGGAGTAGGTTCTGGAGTAGATATAGTTTATACTTCAAGTGTAATGTTATCTCTTCTGTTTGTACTCCTGTTATTTGTCTAGTGGATTTGGGTTGACGTGAGCGGCCCCGCAGAGGTAGGAGTGAGGCTCTGAACTGCGTTAACATCTCCTGGTGCACGATTCCGTTTATTACTTGCTTAAGCTTTTATTTATTCTGTCTGGATTAGATCCTGGAGCTAGTCCAGCGTTTTTATTAGTTCGTTGTTTTTTATCAGAATCTTAGGCTTTGTCTTGCTTTCAAGATACACGTGTTTTTTCAGGTATTTTGATTACGAATTATGTAATTTGATTTCAATTTAAATCACCTAATATCGTTTATAAATGCATCCATCATTGTGTATCTGTATCTCCATAGTACTTAGAGTAGCATTTTATAAATTGACAGATATGGATCAGAGTCCCTAGTGACCAGCAATTACAGGTCATCAATCGATTTTTGTACTTCAATACTCCAAAATATGACATGTTTATGAGTTTAATTGCACATTTTAAAAGTTTGTGAGGTTAATTAACTTTACGAGTAAAATTTAGGACATATTTGACTCTTTTCCTTAAAATTTATTATCCACCTTATAAGCCTACTACACCAAATGGCAATTGTTATGTCGTGGAACCGTGCCCACCTTGCAAGATAGACACGGTTCTATGTTCCTAATTACTGAACTCTATGTTCATAATTTTTTAACTTCATATTTACAATTATTGAACTCTATATTCACAATTACAGAACTCTATGTTCATAATTACTAAACTCTATATTCATAATTATAAAACTCTATGTTCATAATTTTTGAACTTCATATTCACAATTGTTGAGCTCTATATTCACAATTACAGAACTCTAGCTATGTTAATAATTATAAAACTCTATGGTCATAATTATAAAACTCTGTATTCATAATTTTTGAACTCTATATTCACAATTATAAACAATTTTGAAACCGTGTCTACCTTGCAAGGTGGACACGATTGAACGGCATAATTTGCCACCAAATAGAGCAAATAATTAAAAGTATATATATTACTCCCTAAAACACATTTATATTATTACCATCAAGCACTATGTGTGTTGCACGAAAACAATACATAATGTATAGAATATACAATTTTTTACATTCAATTTGCTCAGCAGACAGATCAAATGTCGCACAAGTGATTTGTCAACTTTAGACATAACTTTAACATAGTCATTGCCAAAGTTCGAATCTTGATCTCTTCTTCTAAATACTGTCTACTGAACCAATGAACTAACTCCGTGCCAACCTCAATCGGCCATGTCGTCGTCCTGCTGTTGTAGACGAACTTCGAACCACTGAAGCGAACCAGCGTCTCCATCGATTTCAAGTTCACAAACGCACTTCACCAAATACTCCACCGCGTCGTCAATGTTTTCGAACCGCGCTAGGTCCGCCGGCAACCCATTCGCCGGCCAATTTTGAAGCCACCCTTTCAACCTCTCTCTCAGTTCTTCCTCCGATACGAACTCCTCCTCCTTCCCAGGTTCCATTAGCACATACGTGTCTGTCCTTATGTCTGCCCTTCTCCTTCTTCTCACCTCACAAATCTTCAACACCAAACATAATCACTTCATGGCATGTTTCATAAAGATTAAGAGGAATTGCAATTTCCATTGACAGATCATTTAGTTGAGACGATGTAATTAGGGGAAAAGGGATTATAATTTCGTAGAAAATGAATAAAGTGATAATTTTGATAGGCAGGAATAGAATGACGATGAATTGAAAGTGGAGGAGTGAATAAAGACTGAAATATCATTTATAACAATAATAAGGACAAAATATTAATTTATTGTTGAATTACAATTTCACAAACTATGGAATTACAAATTAGTCTTCGACTATAGTAATTTTATTCAATTTATTAGTCTCCGATTATAGTGATATTTCTCGATTTAGTCATTGATTCTAATAGTTTAGGACTCAATTGATAAAAAATCAAAGTCCATGGCGTAATTAAACACAGAAAGTCATTTAGGACTAAATCGAGAAAAATAAAACATTATAGTCAAGGATTAAATTTGATATTAACTCAATTTGCAATTATATGAATATTTTGGTCTTTATACTACTAATTTCCTTTTAATTCATTTCGAATTATACCAAACACTCAATTAAAATTCTCAATAATTCTATTTATGCCCGTCAAACAATAAAATTTGAATTCATACTTTATTTACATATTATCCATTTCCCATGAAATTACAATTTCTTTCCGTTCTAATTCCCTACTTCCAACTAAAACCGCAGGCTAATATCTAAACAAAAACTCGGCCTCTTTCTACCTTGTTGTTCTAAGTAGCAATTTTTTTTTTTTGAATGTTACTGGTTCTATTACATTGTAGTATCTGTTCATATACTTTTTCAACCTACTGAAACACAAAGAACCAATAACGCCTCCACTGAGGCTCGAACTCGTAACCTTCCAAATGGAAGTCCAACCCGGGTACCATATTAAAAGAGAAAAGAAACAATTAAGATAGAGGCCACTTACCATAGTTGCATTTCGGATGTGGAATTGCATAAACTGCACACTTTGCCCAAGTAATGGTGGTGGAGGATGCAATGTTGCTCTCTCTTTTCCTGCAAAAATTAATAATTAATTATATTTTTTTTACCTCATGAGTGTTTAAGCACTCCTTAATTAAAAAACAACTCAGACTAAGAAAAACTAACGATACCAATGAACTTGTTCTGTGGATTATGGCACAGCAATCCAGCTTTTATGGTCTCATTCAAAATTCCCAGCATGTTTTTTGTTTTGTTTTTTTCTTTTCTAAAAAGGATTGAAAGAAATCAACAATGGATGTTTGGGTTGGCTTGTGTTCCTGCTAGAGGATGGATAAGAAGGATGACACTCAAGAAATATTTTGAGCCTCATCTATAGTTTTACACCACTTACCCCTCCCCAATTATGAAAATCCTAAAATGCCCCCTCACAATTTTCTTCTTTCTCTCAAAATTAAAGTTGAGTCCTCAATCGCAATAATAGTAGTCTGACCAAAGTATTAGGGAGGATAATTTGTAAATCACTATAATCCAATGGCTTAGCAAACAGCCAATGTCAAATGTGAGAATAATCCTCACGCTGCCGTTGTTGAGTTTCGAAGCTTAGCCTCTTCTCTCAAATACTACCTACTGAACAATAGTTATGTCATGGACCCAAGTCAAAATATACAATTTATATACTGAATGTTCACAATTCAAATTATGAACGTTCAGTATGTAAATTGTGAACATTTAGTATATAAAATTATGAACATTCAGTATGTAAATTGTGAATTTTTAAACCCGAATTCACAGAATAACTTGTCCCTACTAAACCCGTGAGTTAAGTTCCCACAGTCTTCTATTATTCTTTATAAATGGAATACTCCCGGCCTTCTAAAATTTGATTAGACTTGTCTGCTATACACATTGTACTCTGTCATTGGACTCAATCATAAATTTAATTCTTATCAACGTCCTTTTGAATAAGCCAAGAACAGGACTTAATTAGGCGCAAACTAGTTGGCAACAGTAACGCAATAGGAAAGCTCGTTTCATTTACGATCATAAGTTATTGGTCGTGAGATGTCTTATCGGAACGAAATTTCCTTTATCATGCAGGGTTCTGTGTGGTCAAAAAAAAAAAAAAAAAAAAAAAAAGGTTTTTGGCATTTTCTTTTGTAATCTTCAGAAAAGCAAAATGTACATGGTGAGAAGAAGATCGAGTCCTCATGTATTCCCTTTTTAGATCTAGCTTCTTTTTGGTTTTCACTTCTAGTCAACTTTATATATATATATATATATATATATATATATATATATATATATATATATATATATAATTAGAGAAAATAATAATTTTAATCCATTAATTATACTCATATATATAGACTCAATCCATGAAATTATTACCTTATACAAATTCTCTCTTTTAATTATGTGTAAAGAGACTGTTTTAATTTATTACTTATTTTGTTAACATTAACAATTTAGTTTAAATTATTACTGGGAATATTGATCATTTAGTAAAATTTTCTTACATTCCATCTACTAAATCTTCATTTATATGCTACTCTTACCACAAAATAACATTTTAAGTTGTACAAAATAATAGTCCGAGTTGCACTTGTTTTAACAAACACTAAAATAACCAAAAACATTCTGAGTTGTACAAAATAAAAACCTAATTTGCAAATTGTTTAATATGCACCAAAATAGCAAAATGATAGCTTGACTTACATAGTTTAACAATCATAAAAATAAGCTTTATATAATAATACTAGTATTTTCTACGTGTAATGCGCAAAAATATGTTCCCAATATTAAATAGTATTTGTTTTATATGTTGCAAATCAAAGAGTCCATACCCACCACTCTGGGGTTTAATCTTGTAACCTTTTACAGGGCGTTTGGTTTGAGGGATTTTAAATTCCCTTCCCACTTAATTCCCACCTAATTCCAAAGGCCATTAAATTTCGTAATTTGGTTGGAGGGAATTGCAATTCCCCCATTTTCATGGAATTAAAATCCCATGTCCCCCCTGGTATTTTAATTCTTGGGAAAAAAAGATAGTGATGAGTCAAAATTACCCCTTCCTTTTTTAACCTAAAATTAATGTCTAACAACAATAATGGACATTTTTGACTTTATACTACTTATTCCCTTTCAATTTCCATGTATACCAAACATTGGAATTGAAATTCCCAGTAATTCTATTCCTGTCAACCAAACACTGGAATTAAATTCCCACTTTATTCCTAGTAATTCAACTCCCATGAAATTACAATTCCTTTCCCACATAATTCCCCCTCTCCAACCAAACGCCCTGTTAAGGAGAGCGACATAATATTATTGGTAGGCCATATAATCTGATGGTGATCTGTTGATGTTCAATTCCTATATTTCGCTGAATATTATTAGTTAGGGATCCCTTTATCATACTGGGTTATTGTTTTATTATTACTTAATCTTAGAATATTGTTGCTAGGGAAGCTATTTCTATGCCAAATTGTGGGGAATGATTTATTTTCCCTCCTATGTTTCTTGTGGACATTCTTGCTTCTGACGTAATGAATTAAGTGTTTATTCCAAAAAAAACAAAAAAAAAAGAAATCTTAGAATTTTAGTAGAAGATCAGAAGAAAATTAAGAAGGGATGCTGATCGTGAATGACTTTGTGGTCTAGTGGCACGAAGTGATTTTCTCAAATGGGAGATTATAGGTTCAATCCTGATGGTGATCGATATGATGGCCATCACATAAACAAGAAAAATAAATGAAAAAAAAATTACCAAACAATTGTAAAGAAAGCATATATAGGTTATATTGTTGAAGTTGTAAGTAGAACATGCATATACCAGAATGAAGCAATTGAAGATCAGAATACTATATATGAATAAATAAACAAGCTATAGCTATACTAGTGCTTGTTCGAAGTCTTATGACACTTGTCTTTGATCCAGCGAAAACCAGCAGAAGCTCCAGCCTTGACTTTCTTCACACCGGTGGAAGCGACCACCTTAGTTTTGTCGAAGGTTTCACCCATCTTGTCGGACAATTTGGCCTTACGATGATCATTCATTTTGTGTTCTTCGAAAAGAGGCTCCGACCGGTCCCATTGGTCTGCCCATGATGTCCCGTAAGAAGGATTCTTGGCCATAATTCAGACAGGGAAGGAGAAGATCAGATCAGAGCGTTTTAATTTGTTGGATGGGTTAAGGAAAAATGGGATTTGGGAGTTTATGTAATGAGAATTTTAGGTGGGTGGAGCCTACTTAGTACCAAATGCATTGGAAAGCAAAAAAAGAAACTTATTATGATTATGCTATTTGTGAGCAGATTTCAAATATAGAAGATCTGTGTGGATTGTGGGACAGATTTTTTTAAATATTATTCCAATTTTAATAAAATTATAATTTTATTTTATTTTTGAAAATATTATTCCAATTTTAATAAAATTATAATTTTATTTTCCATATATGCATAATTGAATACTTTCAAACTTATTTATTACCAAATTATATACAAATGCTTTTGGTTTCATTAATTACCACCCTTTGACCAGCCATTTTCGCGTTGTTATTGTTATATATATATATATATATATATATATATATATATATATATACACTAGTAATTCACCCGCGCGATGCACGGGAAATGTTATTATAAATATAAATAAAAAAATAGAAAAATAAAAATATTTTAAATTGTTTAATATAATAATATTTTTGAGCTTCCATTGGTCAAGTATTTATTATTTTTATAGAATACAAAATTATAATTAAAATTTTGTATGGTTAATATAATCTCTAATTATGCACATATTCAAATAAACTTATAGAGAGAATTTTCATAATTACATTGATTTATTCTTAATTGTATTTCATCTATATTATAATTTTCACAATACGAATAATAACTAAGATAATTACATTTAGAAAGCAAATTTCAAATTTTGTATGAGTAAATTTAAACTCTAATTGAACACATTTTTTTATATGATTATATAATATATTCTTTATGCACATGGCATTCCATAAACTCAAATGTCATTTTATAAGTCCAAGACCACTTTTTTGTGGAGATAATTCAAATGTATTTTTTAGGGTTGGGTTCAGCCTTTAAATCTTTGGAAGAATTCAAATGTATTTTTTTTCTTTTAAAAGTCATAAGTTTAGACATCCAGAAAAACATTAAAGACCCATACGATATATACATTTATATATATTTAAATTTTTATTTATGGCTTAAATGATTTTTTAATTATGAAGTCCAATAATTGACCCACGGCCGCCCCGCAACATTTGCTTTCTTCATCCCTTCTCGCTTCTGCCATTTCTTTGAAGCATTTGAGATGGAGAAAAATTATATGTAGAGGCTTGCATTAATTGCATTGTTTCAGATATTGAACAGGCTTTCATAAAAAATTTAATTAATATTGTAATCCCAAGAACCACCATAAATAACAAAAGCATATCAAATAGACTTTCATTGTAAAACCAGAGATTTAACTAATATTGCATCGTTTCATATTTTCTATTAATCGAGAATCGGAATCCTTAATCCTAATATCATAACATTTAATAACTCCATTAATTCAATAAATGTAATCCTTTGTTATGGGCGAGAAAAAAATAGCTATTTTATTTTTCAAATGTTGTGTTTTTTTTTTTTTTATAGTAAAAGATGTTGTGGATATTTTATATTTATAGCTAGTTATAATAATAATGTTGGTAATTAATTATAATATTAATTATTTCCCAACCATATAGCTTTATTATATGTAAGATATGTCTTGCCAAGTCATTATTGACAATACAAATATGGCTGATGATAGGGTGATGACGAGGCAAATAATATCCGTGTTTTGTAAATATAAGTTTTAAGAAATATGTGGATAAGTGTCAATTATTACTATTTTTGTGTTCATATTTGATATCAAATTCTTATGATTTTGTGCAAATTTGAAGTTAACTTTGTGCGTATTTGATTTGTTTGCATTATTTATGTGACTTTTAGACATTTCTGACCAGTCATTTTCGCGTTGTTATTGTTATATCTTATTATATCATATGTCTTGCCAAGTCATTATTGACAATACAAATATGGATGATGATAGGGTGATGACGAGGCAAATAATATCCGTGTTTTGTAAATAAATTTTAAGAAATCTGCAGATAAGTGTCAATTATTATTATTATTGTTGTGTTCATATTTGATGTCAAATTCTTATGATTTTGTGCAAGTTTGAAGTTAAGTTTGTGCTTATTTGATTCGTTTGCATTATTTATGTGACTTTTAGACATTGATTGTATAACAATGTAAAATGGAGTTCAGATCAATTTGATATGTTTGAAGTCCCGTTAGCACAAAGACGCATTTCGGTTAGAGTTGTCAAAATGGGATTAGCCTTCCAGGCAGCAATTATACTGTGGACCACTGTGTACAATGTATTGTGTACCGCGGTTCAAAAACGGACTTAAAGAAACGACACGCTGTTACAGTCAACGGAACGTGCATGTTTGGTGTATTAATTATCAACTGAAACTACAGTGTATTTAAACTGACACTGCCTCACGTATTGTTTTTATATTATCAAGTGAAACTGCAATTGAAATGAAACGAAACTGTAGTTGTGTTGAAATGACATTGCAATGTATACACTATGACACTGCAGTGTATACAAAATGAAACAGAATAACAATTTCACATATTTGAGGTATATTGCCTAGCGAAACTATAGTTATATCAAAATAATACTGTAGTTGTGTTGAAATGAAACTGCAGTGTATATAAAATGAAACTGAATAACATTTCACATATTTGAGTGTATATTGTGCAATGAAGCTGTAGTTATATTGAAATGATCATGTAGTTGTGTTTTAATGAAACTATGGTTTATATAAAATAAAATTAAATAACATTTTCACATATTTGAGTCTTATAATATCGAATGAAACTGTTGTTATGTTGAAATGAAACTGTAGTTATATCGAAATGAAACTGCAATGTATACAAAATGAAAATGAATAACAGAGTTATTACTTTTTGTGGACCGGCACGAAACGGGTGCCGTTTCTTTTCATTAAACAAAACGACGTCGTTTAGAAGTTCGGTGCATAATCCATTATGCACCGCGGTGCACGATATAATTTGCCCCTTCCAGGCTAGCCCCATCCCACCTTGCCAAAAAGGGAATAGTTATGCTGTGCATCTGTATGCACCATGCATGGTGCATACAGATGCAAAAACGACGTCGTTTTATTAAAAACGCGCGTCTCCCCTTTAAAAAAAAAATTCAGGTTCGATTCCTAGTAACAACATTATTTTGTTCATTCATTATGGAATTTTAGTTCATGGATTATGGAATTATAGTTCATCGATTATGGAACTATAGTTCATCGATTCTGGAATTATAGTTCATCGATTCTGAAATTTTAGTTCATAGATTCTGAAATTTTAGTTCATTCATTCTGAAAATTTTAGTTCATAGATTAGATTATGGAATTATAGTTCATCGATTATGGAATTATAGTTTCGAACCTAATTTTTTTTTTTTAAGGGGAGACGCGCGTTTTATAAAAACGACGTCGTTTTTGCATCCATATGCACCATGCTTGGTGCATACGGATGCACAACATAATTTGCCCCAAAAAGGTGGGGTGGCCTTAGAATTTTATGGCCCGTATTTTGGTGGCTTTTTAGCTCACTCCACCAAGCCTGCCTAGTATGTATACATTATTAATATTAGTGTATATATACATACCATTTTATATAATTATATATATAAACATATGTTTATTTATTTATATTGGAAAACTGTATTAGTAATTAGTTCATTATATAAATTATTTGTTATTAGTTTTTTTTTAGTAATATTGCCTCTGTTATAATGCAGTATTTGTTCATACTTATTACTTCGCAACTTGGTGCCACTAGACCACAAGGTCATTGACTTATTTGTTATTAGTTAATAGATTAACAAATTATGTATTTAATTATTTATTACTTTATTTATTACTCCGTAGTTATTATTGTGTTTAACAAATTACAAATGCATTAATATATGTTTAAAGTATCAAAATTATTTTAGTATACTCTTATTAAACTTTTTCATATTAATTTTTATTTACATCTATAACTTTTCAAATTTTGCGGGTCCCGCCAAAACTCGCGGGATCGGGGCGGACCGACTACCATTATGTCCGTATTTTGGCAGGCTTTTTAGGAGACCAGTTTTGACAGCTCTAACTAATTCCGATAGGTCGTTGAAAGACTCTAGCCTAGACTAGAGTAGTGTTCCTCCAATTTGCTTGGACTTTTATCAGCAGCACTGGGGACTGGAGTATTGCTCCTTTTCCTCCAATAGTAAGAGTGGACTCTATGCATGGGATTCCAAATTCAATTGCCTTGTTCGTGAGAGGATTGAATTGCCATCGCCAACCTAACAACATGAGGAGTGTGATGATGAAGAGGAAGGAGCGTGGTTCGGCTTGGATTGGATTCCCCTTTTGTTTGTTTTTAACACTCTACATTCTCTACTTTAATTTGCTAGCATTTTGAATTGGTCGCAAAACATACACCGTCATATATAGTAGGCAAAAGAGAATAAGGGCTTCATTCGTAGTAGACTAATTTTGTGTTCTCATGTGCATCTGTACATGTTTTTTTTTTTACTAAGCTTAGCTTTTGTCAACTAGCAAGAGTGGTCGGGTAAGTGAGTTGGTACATATACCCAACATTAACATCGCTAACTATTTCCAGTTGCAACTTATTTTCCATTCACGGGAGATCTAAAGAAATGGTGTTAGAAATAAACTCTGTTTTTATTGATAAATGCATAATTTATACACTTTTGCATCATTATTCTTTAAGTATATTTTGTGTGCATGTTTTTTAGTATAATGCACTACCTTATCATATCAATTATGCATGTATTGGTTATCTTTTGAAGCTAACCATCCAGATCCAGTGTTTTCATTATATTTGTTGATTAAGGTGTAAAATTGACTTACTTATGGAGCTAAGGAAATGGATAATTGGTTCAAATTTAGTTATGGAGGGGAGCTTCTGGCAATGACCCACTCCTTTGGAGGCTTGAGCCATCTAATCTTCTTCCAGGTAGACTCTGATAGACATGGTCCTTCATCCAGTGAATTTTTGTCTCTAAAACTACTGCATCATTCTAACATTGTAACTGCGAACAAGATAGATATTCCAATTCTGATTTCCAAAACCATTTTCGAAGCCCCAGATTCCTGCATCCAACCAGCTTTTGAATGGCAGGTTCTGGTAATTTGCATACTGCTTAGGATAGGAAACAGATTCATCCATATACAACTTGCTTTGGGGCATTTCCAAAGAATATGATCAACATCTTCCACATTATTTAATTTCCACAACTATAGCAGGTGGCATTGGTCATGAGCAGCCACAAAAATGTGCAAATACGCTGGGGGATTTTGAGTTTCCAAATGTTAGCTGGTCCATGCTCAGCCACCATTGTATATGCCGAGCTGACTGAGAAAGGGCCTCGACTGTTAGCACCCCATCCCATCCCATTTCGTCCTCCCCGTCCCCTTCTACACATAAAATTATAGCAGCTAGCTAGGAGATTAAGTTTGTCACCTGGCACAAGAGGTATCAGCTTATCCCATTGCCAACCAACTTGTACAAACCATTCCTATGTTGATCGCATCATGCCAAAGAGGGCAGTGCATCCATCCAAAACAAACTATTCCTGCCATTCATCACTCTTTTTCTGATCGATGCCATTCTTCAAAAATCAAAATAGGAGCTCATTTCAGTATGCCCTTCCAACTTGCCGGATCATTCTCCCCTTTTATGTACTAGGCTGGATAAAACACTCTTTTTTTCAAATAATCATACTTTCTTGTCACTGTTTTTATACTCCTGTATTTATATTTTACGTGATGTCACATTATTCACCTCATCACATAATTATACAATCTACCATATCATTCATCATGCATCAGATATCTTTATAAAAAGGAAATACCTTAAAATATTGTCAATAAGAATTAAACTAAAATTACAAAACAAAAAGTACCCTTATTTAAAATTCTCCAAACATGTCACTAAAAAGAAAAACGTTTTTGAAACTTTTTAATTGCCCCTTAGATTGAGCCGTTTAGCTATGAGTAAGCTAGGCTAGTTTACTTCCTTGTGGTCCTTTGCCGGCTATGGTCACAAGGCAAGGTTTACCTACACCCGAAAGGGTTGTGGGATTTCCCTCGCCATCAAAAAAAAAAAAAAAAAAAAAAAAAAAAAAAAAAAAAAAAAAAAAAGTGTACTACAAAAGGTCTTTCAAACACGTCCTTACATTGCCATAAAAGCAAGCAATCCAATGAATCCATCCACCATTTAATTCATCAATGAAACAGGTCCTCCATTTCAAACACTTTCAGAGAAGCTGTTTTATGTCTAGATTCATGGGGTAGAATGAAGAATCATGAAATTATAATTCTACTGTTTCACCATTGCTGATTCCTTAGTTGAGGCATGCATAATATAAGCATCATATAATATAATTGATCATGAATCCAGCTTCATCAATTTCTCACCTTGACCAACTCTCATCTCCGGCCAGCAATGGCTCTCATTGGCTTCCCAGCTGCGGGCTCTAAACAGCTTGTCCAGGATAATCTAGCAAAGAAACACCGTTATACTGTCCAACGGCATGAATTGGCTGATATATGTATGAATACAAAACGTACCCCTACTATTTCTGATCTTTGCGAGCTAGAAAACGCGCCCTGGCAGCTTGAATCCTGCTATCACGCTCTTCAGGAGGCTCAGCATGAGCAGCAACTTTCTTCTCCAAATTCGAGTTTACTTCTTGGATTCTCTCTTCAGGCTGGTCAGATCCACCACTGCAAATAACAACCATAAGCTTCAATATAATATATATTATATATATTATCAAATAAAATATGAAGAATTTGCGGGCCTTTATAAAATGGTGAAATAAATTTTGACTATTCACCTCAGTTTTTTTATATTTAGTTTCTCAAGCCTACCCAAGACAGGCACAACCCATTGCATCTCAACTGCACACACATTACGCATAAACGGACGTGTAGTAGATATTAGCTCGTGATATACCACATAATTTGGGAGCATTCCATCCTCATCTGCTTTTAGTACTGATGATGGATGGACCTGGCAAGACGAAAACAATACAGTATTAGTTCGGATGCATATATCATCATGTACACTGGCTAATTACTCAGAGTACTAGCTTAGGTGAAAGATTGTTATTAACCAAGCATCTATATGGTATTGAATTTCAAATGGAAATTACCAAGTACAACTAAAAATCTAAAATCCAATATGGTGTCATAAATAGATTCAAACATATAACTAAAAAACAGCAACCTGAACCAACTGAGACTTGAAACCAAGAGTTCGGTAACCATTATGACGAATCATCCGCTCTGCAAGCTGATTAGCGTAGCCTGTACACAAAGCTTTCCGCAAATTTTTGTAGTCTTGTTGGCTTTTTTTGTGTCTTCTGCTTGTTTGGACATCCAAAGACTCTATCATTAAAGACAATAGAGGTCACATAATAAGAATCCCAACCATATTTATTGTTGTTTACATACTTCTTTTTTTAATACACTGCAAATATCCTGGTTTGATGGTTTTCAAAAACAAGTAATTATGTCTTACTCCCCACTCATCCTGTTCTTGCATGTGGATCAAATTCAAAATTAAAATAAATATTGTTGAATAATACGAAAGTTGTCTTAGTTTCCTATTCTTATTAGTAGTTTCCTATTCCTATTAGGACTAATTTAGTATCTAGTTTAGTATATATAGAGGTCCATTGAAGTATAGAACATACATTAAGAGAGACAATCTATTGTACTCTTTCATTATAATATATTCTCTATATTCTCTTGTTCTTTGGTTATCACATATTTTGCTTCCGCCTAACTGGCGGGTGGTGGTTATTCTCCACCCGCCAGACCTATCAATCCCTCAATTTCAACATGGTATCAGAGCCTACTTTCCTAGGCTGTTTTTCTTCAAATATTAAAACCCTAATATAAACCCTAGCTTTCCACCGCCGCTGCCGCCACCGGAGGGTAACCACTGCCGCCACTGTTTTCTCGTTCCGACGCACTTCTAGTTGTTGTTCAAAGCAACTAACACCACAGCCTTACTCGGAACCTTGTCGCGAGCCGTCGCTTGAAATCCGGTCGCCATTCACCGTCGCACGCGCCCACACGCGCCACCACCATCGTCGGGAGTGCTTTCGCTTTTCCGGCCAAAGCTCCTCTTCTCCAGTGATTTTGTGATCTCACCTCCTACACCAATGGATTCCTCTCCCTCTTGCGACCTTATCTGGAAAATTTCATCGCTTTCCTCCACCGCCGTCGTCCTCACGCGCCACCGCCGCCGTCACGCGCCGACGACCTTCCTCACGCGCCGGCGCGTGAGTCTGCCTCCGGCGAGATTTTTCAGATGGTTGTTTTGCCCTTCTTTCAACTTTTTGGTGAAATTTGAAGGCTAACTTCTTTGGGTTTGTTGCCGAACATTTTCCCATGGTGTTTGTGTTTTGGTATAACCGTGTTTGTTTCTTTATCTCCGGTATGCCTTATCCCATGGATGGTTAGTTTCAGCACTACTATAAAGGCCTTTGATTATTTCCCATGTTTCAAGTAAGGGGGAGTGTGACTATCTACAATTGGTGTGCTATCATTTACTATTCTTTGCTATTTTATCTACTATGGGCTCCCTTTGCTATTCTTTGCTCCCTTTCTGCCTCTACCGCTCTCTTGTGTTATCGGGAGGTTGTTCATGTTTAACTCTATCCTTGGTGTGTTCATCTTCATTCTCGAGGTTCATGTTTAACTCTATCCTTGGTGTGTTCATCTTCATTCCCGAGGTTCATGTTCAATTCTGTCCTCGGTGTGTTCATTCCCAAGATCGTGTTTAGCTTCGTCCTTGGTGTCATCGTCTTTATTCCCAAGGGTCCTTGATGTCTTCGTCTTTATTCCCAAGGATTGTGTTCAGCTCCGTTCTTGGTGCCTTCGTCTTCATTCCCAAGGAAGGGTCAGACATAGCGCAATCTCTTTTGAAGTCATCCATCCTCGAGTCTTATATTGTTGTGATGGTGTTCGTGTTTTCCCTTGGTGCCTCCATTCCCAAGGATGTTCGTGACAAGCTTTGCCCCTGGTGTGTTCATTCCCAAGGGTTGCATTGTCCCTCCGAAGCCATCTCGCATTATTATCCTCTAGTTGCATTTAATTTTCACTTGTAATTTTGAGTGAGGTAGAGTGCTTGTTTTAATCCAAGCTTGGAACTTCAGATGTTCCAGCTTGAGGGGGAGTGTTGAATAATAGGAAAGTTGTCTTAGTTTCCTATTCTTATTAGTAGTTTCCTATTCCTATTAGGACTAATTTAGTATCTAGTTTAGTATATATAGAGGTCCATTGAAGTATAGAACATACATTAAGAGAGACAATCTATTGTACTCTTTCATTATAATATATTCTCTATATTCTCTTGTTCTTTGGTTATCACATATTTTGCTTCCGCCTAACTGGCGGGTGGTGGTTATTCTCCACCCGCCAGACCTATCAATCCCTCAATTTCAACAAATATAAATAAATAAAAAAGCAGTGCTCAAAACATGGTCCTCACTGATAAATTGCATAGGACAAAGAGAATGGAAGCACCAAATGGATTAGGCATTCACTTTGCACAGAAAACACACCAACCCTTTCCAATGGAAGATCAGAAATCAAGTTTCTGACTTTTAAAACATGAAGTCAATTTTGGAAATAAGAGCTATCAAGGTAGAAAGGAGACAATGATTGGATTAGAATTAAGGCATAGCTCAGTTGAGAACTATAGAATCATAGGAAAATTTGCAAAACTTCAAAAGTGGACATGGACTATAATATAACATTAAGAAAAAAGGGTAGAAACTTGGTTGCACAAAAGCATTACCTTTGGCCATTTTCTGCATTATTTGAGTTAACTGTTGCCTTACGTTTTTCACAAACATCATTCCTCGTACCTATCATTAGCAAGTCCCACAAAACCAAAGCTATTTAAAGGTTTATAACGAAACTCCAGATACAGATAGAAATGGAGGGAAATAGCATAATACCTGCAAGTTGTTTTCTTTACACCAGTCTATGCTATAATCTGTTTGATCCCAAAGCTCATATATCTGAAGTAGTTGGATATGATCACCCCAGCCAGATCCATCAGGAAGGTTTGAAGGAGTGTGTTTCCTCTTCTTCTTCTCAGTGTTGTTCCTGTAGGCCAAGAACCCAAGACACTTACAAAATGAAAAGACAACAGATATCTACCATACAGTCAAAGGAAAGATGGAGATCCTAACCACCACAGAAAAAAAATTTAATTTGAAAAAGACAACCAAAGAGAGGAGAGGGAGCGCTAGTCTCCAAACTTATTAGACATGTTTTGGTCAATTTAACATTTTGTCAATCCCCATCCAGGAAACCTGGAGGGTGTGGTTGAGTGGAAGGGGCTCATTCACCCTTAACCAAACATCAGGGGTTCAATCCTTGGCCTTGGGTATGGAGAAGCCTTAAATCTCCAGGCCAGTTGTCCCACCCTTAGAGATGCCTACAATTCAGGGGATTAGTCATTGTGTCCAACGTGGAAACCCTGGGCTACACCCAAAAAAAAAATCCCCATCCAGCCATCCAGGAACCCAACATCTCATCATTCTCATATATCCAGTTGTAAAAACATCATCAGATAACTCCCACTAGCATGACAAGGTTGTAGTAATATAAGCTTGGGTAAAAAATTGGTTGAAACTCCACAACTTCATTCATAGAATCCAGGCACATTACTATCCTCCTTTTTTGAGGGGTGGGCGGGTTTCATGCATTGATCACTGGTAATCCAAAAATGCTTTAAAGTCTACCTAGGACCAGGAAGCAAAGTTGTTTCAGCAGATAGCATAGCAACAACTGTCAATGCTTGAGATAAGCAATTCAAATCATTAGCCTCTATTAAGGTCCTGGAAAGAGAAGGCTCTAGCGGAAGCTCTGCACAAAGAATGAAAGATGATCAGATTCAAATACATACTGAGTACTTTTAATTTCTAGTTATATCTCCGAAGTCTAAACAACAACAGTGCTAGTGACCCCAATAAAGTACCAACTTTAGCAAGGATTTTCCATGTTACATTCCAGCAGAATCTCTTTCCCATATCAGACTAACAAAAAGCATACAATTCAGAGATGGACTTTACCAGCCATGGTTCGTCCAAGGGAAGTAATAGAACCATTTTCATCAATAGCATCAATCAGATATAACTGCCTCAGGGCATCTTCTAAAGACTCAACTGTAGCAAAACAATGGGATGTGCAACAATAAATTATTCGATCACAAAGTTCTGACCTAAATCAAAATACAAGAAAGTTAAGACTCAAGATATTCAAAGAAGATACAACCCTTACATGATGGAGGGTCAAGGAAATCAAAATTTAGAATATCCATATCAGGGAGATCTAATGACTTCAAATACAAAACAGCTCCCGCAAGAGAAGACCTCTGTATTTCAGGGACTGTAGCATCCAAAAAATCGTCGTGGTAAATCATAGAAGGATATAAGCGGTAGCACTTTCCAGGCCGTGTTCTTCCAGCTCGTCCTGCACGCTGGTTGGCTTGCACCCTGTGGGCATTACAGCCAAAAAATGAAAAGTTATTGTAACAGTAGCTATAGTGAGTCAAACAGTAAAAACTAATTAGGAAAGAAATGCAAAGCAAAGAACACATTTTTAGAAATCAATATTTTGCTCTACTGAGGATAAAGGTCATAGTAAAAATCAAATGACACATTTAATTATTGATGGATTCATATACTATTTAAATTTTTTGCAAGAGATAGATGCCAGAGTTCAATTACAAATGCCTAATTTGGGTTACATAAAAACAATTTCCAATATATATTTTCACAAACACTTCAAAGCAAGCCTAATCAAGTTGCACTAACCCATTACATCATGGGTTACAACTGGAAGCTCTTAAAAGCGACTGCATAGACCTTTCTTCCCTACTCCAGACCCTACACAATGTGGATTCCTGAGCTCTGGGACCAACCCCATAAATCATGCAGCACCAGACCCCCACAGGCATAAACTCAACACATTTGAAGCTATATTAAAATGAAATACAGAATATAAAGAAAATATCTGCTCTAATTTGAACAACTTTCCCCCTTTTTTTATCCAATGATATGTTCATATAATTTTATTTTATTTTTTATTTTTTAAAAAAAAAATGAAGCATAGAGTACATCTGTACATGCCTTCAGAAGTAGTATTTAAGACTTACTTGCTAATTTGAACAACATCTAGAGAATACATGCCACTTGATGGGTTGTACTGTCGTTGCTTCACATACCCAGAATCAATAACATAACTGCATAAAGGTAACTGCCCATTAGAAATGCAAGAGCAAGGCTACATATTAGCAGATCACACAACTCATCTGTTAATATGACTCGAAAAAATAAGAAAATTCAATACACAAATACTCCGGTGAAAAGAGTGAATGAGTAAGGCAGTAAAGTTCAATGGCTCTTTCACCTAAATAGAGAATACATAGATACTTTAAGAGATGGAGGGACTTAGCTCCATATAACTACTATAGTAGCAAATGCATGCATTCACGAATATGAACTTTCTGGTGGCAAATGTATTATATTTTTAGTTTTTACCTTAAAATAATGCATCATCAACCAACTCAATAAATCTGCACAATCTAAAGTTCTGAATCTATTATCTATGCTTTCGGCACAATTGAAAACAAAATAATATGTGCCCAAGAGTTTTTTATTTTCTTGTGGGTGCACAACATAAGTTTACTAAATTACTACACATTTATCTATATGAGTTGCAAAACCATAATATCAAGTCAAAAATGAACAATTGAAGAACGATATTCAGATCAAGCTGTCTTACACAACACCATCAACAGTCAAAGAAGTTTCAGCAATATTTGTAGCTACAATAAATCGCCGACAGCTTGGAGGTGGACGGTTGAAAACACGAACCTGTAGAATCAACCAAAAATGAATTGGCAGAAAAGAAAGATTAATAAAATGAAGGTTCATAAATTAGGTAGCATCAATATATATATGCACACACATATATAATATGTATGTATGTATTTGCCTGTGTGCAAGAGAGAGAGCTACTTGCCTTAATTGTTTTCCTTTCCTCAACAAGTAACACTTTGACTCAGATACATGAATAAATGCAAGACAATGATATTATACATACATACAAATAACAGAAATCATGACGGCGAAGTTACTGAAGTAAGGAAAAGATGAATTCAGTAAAACCACTAATGGACATTACCAATAAGTTACTAGAAAGACAATATTAGGGGTAGAAGAGGAACAAATAACAGCAGCATCTTGGTGCTTTCAGTAAAAATTTACTTGTTGACAAGGAAAAAAAAAACAAACAAACAAAAACAAAATACAAAAACAAAAACAAAAACAAAAAGAGGATTAAATAATTAGTTTCCAAAATACTACAAACATCATCAGAAAGAGGTGATTTCATAAAACAATAATCCAATAACATAGCAAATCCAATTGCTACTACAGAAAGATGGAAAAGGATATCCAAAATGCACTTAAATTGCAGATGAAAATTTAAGCCTAAGCAAGACATAAACCAGTTAATCTAAAAAGCTAGAGTAAGTATATGCTGAGCTTCTATCCTTTGGGGGAAAAACAAGGGGAAACAGTATATAGAAGACAGACTTGCCTGCATTTCAGGTGGTAAGGATCCATGTAGGGGAAGCACTATAGCATCCATACAAGAGCCTTCTTCAAGACCTTGAATTTTTTCCTCCAACTTCAATACCAACTTCTCAATGTCATCCTACAGCAAATCCAATCATATTAATGGCAAAAGAATCACCAACCATAGTTTTAAGTTTAAGATAAAATGGAGTGAAACATCAAAGAACACACAAGGCAAGACTCGAAAGAGGACATGCTCACCTGTCCAGTCATAAATATTAAGACATCACCTTCTGGTTCCTGTACATGTATATCTACTACCCATAAGATCTTGTTAGAGGAAACATCACAATATCATCAAATTGGTTATCATAGAGCAGAAATGAAATTTATCTTTCTTTTACTATATTTTATGACAGATTGATAACAGTGTTCAAATAGTACACCTGATCTCATAGCTATTAACACAATAGAGTAACAATTACATGAGCCTATCAAGTATGTACAAAATATAAAGAGACATTGAAGTTCTTTTCATACCAATAGCTGTTTTAAGACAAGCCTCAACATAATTTTTGGGTTTCTCAGAGCTGTGTTGTATTTCAACGGGAAATAGTTTCCCTGGTACATTGAGCACTGGACAGTCAAAGAAGAATCTGGATACTTTCTCACCATCCAGAGTAGCCGATGTAATCAATACTTTCAAGTTAGAGCTGCGCAATTTAATCAATCTTTTCATCAAGCCTAGCAGTATATCCCTGTGTATAGGAAATTCATAAAATTGACAAAGATTATAAATATAGGTAAATAAAGATTATTTATTTATTATTAAAAAAAAAAAAAAAAAAAAAAAAAAAAAAAAAAAAAGAGCCCTGAACATATAACATATGACTAATGAGTAGTGACAATGAGAGCATCAAAGAGATATCTTCAAAAAACTCAGAACTTGTCATTACAAAATTAAGAGTTATCAGAACAGGTTTACGTGTTCAAACTTCTTTCATGAGCTTCATCCAGAATAATGACTGAATACTGATTTAGCTCTGGATTTGATAGACTTTCACGTAAAAGAACCCCATCTGTAAGGTATCTGTAATCTTCAAAAGCCATCAAATTAGTATTAATAAAGTAAGGTGAATAGCATTACAACAGTAAAAACAAATCAATTACTTTACTTGATATTGGTCTTCTCAGAGGTCCTATCTTCAAATCGAATGGCATAGCCAACTTCCTCACCAAGCTGAACACCAAGCTCTTCTGCAACCCGTCTGCACATGAAATGAATATGTAAATCAAGTAATCAAGTTAGATATATGAAATGTGAAACAATGAAGACAAGCTCTGTCAGTGTCTCTAGAGTCTAGATGCATATAACAATATCAGAAAATCTACAAGATATTTTAGACAACAATACAAACTGCAGCAAAATTTTAGAGTGTCAAAGAAACATATAGGCATTTAGGTGCAGAGAGCCAGAGACATCATATGCAACTATTTCTAGAATTACTTCAAAATGGAACTCCATTTTTCCATACCAAAGCACATAAACTAGTTTTTAGACTTGATAATTCTAAAACAAAATAAGATGCAAGGCACAAACCAGCAAATGCATACCAAAGCACATAAAATATATGCAATGATAATCATGTATTCACAAAAGACAACTAACTCTACTTTGATTCCAAATAGTTGCATAAAATATATCCAGTCAAAGCAGCACATAAAATTCCTTTTTTAACCCAAGTCAATTTTTAACCCACTACCTGGCTATCCAAGCTAATTATCTTCCTTAATAGCCTTTTTTGCTTGCTATCACCACTATATAGATGGTTACAAACCAAAGCATGAATGTTTCTGACTGAGAAACAAGAAAAGCCAAACGTCCAATTGAAATTAAATTCCCTAATCATTTGAGTACAGATTAAGGAAAACAACAATTTAAAGCCCATTGCTAGTTACACAAAGCTAGAAACTAAGAACATGAATCGAAGCAGCTGTTTCCCTTCAAAAGTTTAGCTGATAATTACATTACAATAATAATAATGAGTTGACTAGCCAGTTTCCAAGAGAGATTATTACCTGGAGACGGTAACAGCGGCGACTCGTCGAGGCTGAGTAACGGCGACCATTCCGGTTTTGGTGTATCCCCTTTTGTGGAGCATCTGCGATAGCTGAGTGCTCTTTCCTGACCCGGTCTCCCCAATAACCACCACAACCGGATTTTTCTCAACCGTCTCCATGATTTTCTCTTCGAATTGAAGGATCGGTAAGTGCGCCATTGCTGCTGAATTCGAGCTGAGTGTTAGACTAAAATGAAAAGTACGTGCTGTTTCTTCGTCCCACTTCTGGCTCCTCAAGGAAAAAAATCAACTTCGGGAGTTTGGTACTTCTCCCCTCATTTTAGTAAGTATGTTAGGTTTTGATGTAGTCACAAGTTGTTGGGTTTATTGGTTCAGGTTAATTTTCTTCTTTTTTTTTTTGTCTCCTTTTTGATCGGTTATGACATTTTTTAATTAATATTTTAAATTTTTTGTAAGGACATTCTATAAAAATTTTAGCGTAGTTTTTGAGAAGTTTTTATAAGTATGATTAGAAAAGTGAAAATGAGGAGGGAGATAAAAATAAAAATAAAAAATATAATAAAAAAAAGCAAAAGCAAAAAAGAAAAACAAAACTGACAAAAACTAAAAAAAAAAAAAAAAGATAAATTTATTTAGTGTGGCAACCACCCGGAAGCGCCCCCAAGGGGCGCGTGGGAAACATGCGCCCTCTGGGGCGCGAGGTGCGCTCCAAGCGCATCATTTACGTTTGTTTTTAATCTCCTGCAAGATTTTGGTGTCTTACAGGAGAAAAAGTTCATGAAAAGTTTTAGCTATTATTTCTCAAAAAATTTGAGCTTTGACTTTTATTATTCCAAAACCTTGTAAAAATTCACAAATAGAGATGCCTTAATAAATTTTTTATTATTTATTTCATAAAAAGTATTTTATTTTGTAATAAATTTATTAAAATTTTATTTACAATTTTAATTTTTAAAAAATGGGCTTACATATAAATTATAGAACCTGGATGGCAATGACAATCAATTCGGTTATTGGCGGTGGAATTGGAGGGCAGTCAGCAATATAAGTTAAAGCCAATTTATATCGTGCACCAGGCAATGTGCGCCCTGGTGCAAAACGATGTCGTTTTGTTTCGCCCCTAATAACAGGATTTTTTGGGACCATTAGGTAGGATTCCGTTTATGCCATTAACGTCTACAAAAACAAAAACAAAAACAAAAACAAAAACAAAAAAAAAAAAAAAATCATCTTCGTCGTTATTTGTTTTCATCCGTGTTGTTCAAATTGGCGGTTTCTATATCGAGTTCATCGTCACGATTTGATTTTCGTATCTAGTGTTTTCTGAGAGATGGATGAGGTGATTGTGCAGCAGGAGGTTGCAGTGACAGTCTGACAGACGAAGGTAATGATCCGATTCAATTGGCAGTTACAAAGGATGCTGCTCCAGGTTTTTTATATTTGATTTTTCGCTTGTTTTATAGTTTCGTTGTTGATGCATATGATTGAATTTGTATGCGATAGTCGTTTCATAGGATTGAATTCGTATTAGAGGTGCGTATTTTCAATTTAGTTGTATTGTGTTTGTATTGGAGGTGCGTATTTTCTGATGAGTTTCTAGCAATATACGTGTTTGTCAATCTAGGGTTGATTTTATGTGTATTATGGTTATGATTATGTACATTAAGATGCATACATAACAGATGTTCCTTTTTGCTTAGGATTTTGTGTATTTCTGGGTAGAGATTATGTGTATTCTAGTATAAGATTCTGTACAATATGCATTTACATCTCTGAACATTATTTTATGTGCCTGAGTGGTTAATCTAGGGTTACATATTACTTAGAATTATATTTATGTGTATTACGTTGATAGTTTATGTGTTTTCTGATATAAGATTATGTACATTAAGATTTTCAGTTGCTATATAACTCAGCATACATAACATATGTTCATTATGCTTATGATTATGTGTATTCTGAGTATAGATTATGTGTATTCTGGTTTAGGATTATGTACATTCATCTTAGAGGTACTTAAAATTTTATGTGATTTGCAGTTGACCAGAGTTTGGTGGGGATGTCAGTGTGTTCGATTGATGAAGCTTATGAAATGTACAATGAATATGCTTTTAGATTAGGTTTTAGTGTGAGGAAGGGTAAGCAAAGATATAGTGGTGCTACAAAAACAGTGAAGACGAAGACGCTTCATTGTTCAAAGGCTGGATTTAAAAGGAACTTAGGAAAGGGTTGTTATTCTAAAGTTGATGGTCCAACAGGTTGCCCTGCACTTGTTCAATTTGATGTAGATGGGAATGGGACGTGGACTGCTTCAAAGGAACTTATGTTTATTCTACTATATAATTATGTATATTTAAAATCTCAGCAGAAATACAAGATATTAGTTAGACTTATGATTATGTGTATTGTGGTCAGAGTTTATGTGTATTTCTCAATGATTTTTTGTATATATGTATCATAGAACTTAAATAGGTTTACTTAATATATGTTATGTTATTTCAGGATGGTTACTACATACAAATGTCATAATAATACTTGGATTGAAAAGCTTTATCAATGTAGAGAAAAATGGTGCCCTGCATTTATTAATAAAGATGATTTTTCGGGTGGTATTTTATCTTCACAAAGGAGTGAAACTACAAATCACTCTATTTCTAGAAGGTTATCCAAGACTGCTAGACTGTGTGACTTTATAGGTCATTTGTTGGTGTTGTCTCGGAGTGGAGAAGTAGAGAGGGTGGGGAAGATATTCGTTGTTCACAATGTGTACCTACAATAGCTATGGACCATGTTAAGATTCTTTTACATGCTAGAGAAATTTATACAATTGAGATATATTACTTGTTTGAAGAACAGTTTTTGAAATGTGCAACATGCTATCAAGAGTGTGTTTTATTTGAAGACGGTGTGTATAAGTATCATTTCTGGAGGCCTGATGTTGATATTATTAGGCATGAAGTGAATTTTAATTTTAGAGTGTTTGATATTGGATGTAGTTGCAAGATGTTCACAGAAATGGGGATTCTATATTGCCACTGTTTACGCATTTTTAATGTGCACTGCGTGTCTAAAGTCCCCGAGAAATATATTTTGAAAAGATGGACTAAAAAAATTGTTGAAGATGACTATGTTGATATCGCACCATCATCTCAGACTCTCAGAGTGTTAATGTTGCCTCTTCTGTTTGGATGTTAGGAATCACTAGGAAATTCAAAGGTTGGCTGTTTGTTGTCAAGAAAACAATGGAGGACGAAAAATATGTGAACAAGCAGTTGCAGATGCCAAGAGAAGAGCTGAAGCTGATTGTAGTCCTATTTTCTTTAAAGAATGTGACATAGAATCATCTAGTGGTGTTATAAAGGATCCACCAAGCATGCGGTTAAAAGAGTTGCGTAATAGAATGGAAAGTAGTGTTATTTCAAAGAAATACAATATAGCAAGGGGACGAAAGCGTATTGCTCATATGGTTGCATCTAAAATAAAATCAGTTGTTCAGTCTCAAGCTGAAGATGCTATTTCTAGTATTGCTGGAGATGGCTATTTTATGCATCCAAGTTTTGGAGGTTCAGATTTCTGTCACATTAGGCCAATGACAATTACAAAGGATAATGAAAGCATAGCTTGATGACAATTCTTTAGAGTTATGTGTATTATGCTAAGAGTTTATGCGTATTCGTCTATAAAATTCTGTACATTTTGAAATTTGTTTGCTACCACAGTTCACAGAAATGTTTGAATTATAATTATTATTATGTGTATTATGTTGTGAGTTTATGTGTAGTCTACTAACAATTCTAAATATTTTAATCCATAATCTTTTGAATAACATGGGGAGAGATAGAAATCATTTGTGTTAATTACCAACTTTCAAAATGTACAGAATCATATTATTTAATACACATAATTTGCCTTCACAATACACAGAATTTTTCTTCATAATACACAGAATTATAAACCATATTGCACAGAAATTGAAATTATTTAATACACAGAATTTACCTTCATAATACACAGAATTTATAACCCATGTTGCACAGAAATTGAAAGTCCAAACATTTATTTACTTGCTGCAATGTGTCCAGATTTTTTATATGTAATATATAGAATATCACTATAAAATGCATATAAGTAATAACTATAATGTACAAAAATGTAATTCATAAGACACTTTATAATATAATGCGAGACAAAATGATGTTTCATTACGAATGAAACACTTCACAAAGTAGTTTACCACATAAGTTGTCTGGGTACATCATTGTTTATCAGTAACAGTTGAGGATTACAAGTCAAAATCTACAGACATCATAATAAGATTCAGTTTGATTTTTTACACTTCTTCTTTGCAGTTGTTGTGATGACTGGCAGTTCTGTATTCCTTGGCCACATAATTATGTTAGCTGCATATTTTGCTCGCAACGATGCAATGAATTGATGCTACAAAACAAGATAATGGAAAAGTAATTAGAAACAAAGGGTAAAATATGTAGTATGGAACAAAGTTGAATATTTGTGTACTTACATCTTCCAAACCTCCTGTGAATCCTGGAGCCCAACGTTCTAATGATGTATATGCCACAATCGTCTTACATTGTCACGGACTTTCCATGGCATTTCCAAATACTGCACTTTCATACTCTTCATCTTTCTAGCAAGGGGATTTTTCTTCAGTTGTAGATACTTGGTGAATGCAGTCAGCTATAGAATATAGTTTATAGTAGTGTTTAGATAATCTGAGAAGAATAGATAATAAAATTTTAAGAATGTAGATATAAAATATTAGTAAAAGCATATATTGCTAATTTTGCTGGGCAATCCTGATATTTGTCTTTGTTTGTTATCCCTTCAGGCAATTTCTTGTTGTCAATCAATTGAACTTTTGAGGTCAGAAAGTTGAAACATATCAGAAAGTAATGCTCGTGTAGCAATATACTAAAGAAGACATGTTATAAAAAATTACAAAAAATATAACATATTGTATTATGTACAGAAATCTATAGTTGAATACACATAAACTCTTAAGATAATACACATAATTATAAGTGTAAGAGAGATCATTTATTTTTAGTGAGGTATGGCATTGAATTTCACAATGTACAGAATTTTATAATATAATACACATAAACTACTAATTGAATACACATAAAAACAAGTCCAAGAAACATCAACATACTTAGGGTATAGATATTTTATGAGTTAATACCATCTAAGGTCCTCCGAGTATATTGGTTTTGCCACGTTTAGTCCTAAACTTTCAAATTGACCATCTGTGATCCTTCGACTTTCAAATTTGACCATTCGTGGTCTAAGTTAACCACTCATGGTCCTTTAAGTTTCGAAATTTAACCAGTTGTGGTCCCCTTGA